TAGGACTGAACACGTAGTATTTTCTTTGATAAATAAAATTTATAATTTAATTTTGTAAATTTAAGAGTGCTTCAAATATGACGTTAAAACAAGGTTTTATGTCGTTACAAGTGGGTTTTTTAACATTATCTAGTATAGTAAAATCGTGGGATCGATAAAAATTTGACGTTATATTAGGGTTGTCGTTACATCCGATGTTGTTATAATCGGGTTAAACTGTACTATTTTCTTATTAATCCTCTAATTGATATCCATTTAACATGTATTTTTTATAAAAATCTTTTTTTCCTTCATCTCTTATCTTTTTCTTTTGTCATTAAAAAAACTTTCTTAAATCTGCAACAAATGTATTTTGTTTAATTTGAGTATGACATAAAATTTATAAGTTTATCTACATTACATTTTTTCTTATAAGTTTTATAACTCAGTTTCTAAATTTCTACTTATGGTAATGTCTAAATAATTATTTCCTTTTTTCTCTTCTACTTCAAATTTTATAATTGTATTTATACTATTAGCTGAGGCTAAGATTTTTTTGTGAATCTGTCATTTCGTAACCATAAATTATAACAAAAATTTTAGTCTAGACATAAATGCGATGTATCCTTCATTAGAATGGAAATTAATAGAAAAAGCAATAAAAAATCAAATATATAATTAGCAACTTGAATTATTAAAATTTGTATTTAATGATGATTATTTTTATAATGATGATGAAAAATAATATAAACAGATAGAAGGCATAAGAATGGGTAACATAATTGAATCTAGACTTGCTGAGATATGCATGATAGAAATACAGTCGAACCCCACATAACACTGTTGATAATTCTGTTTTATATGAATTCCATGTTGTACAAGTCACTTAGATTTTACAAATACGTGAGCTGTTAACAGCTCACATATTTGTAAAATTTTTATGAGACAATGATCGTGAAAGATGGATTTCATTCGATGATATTTTATATCTGCTATATGTCCTTTTATTCTTGTTTTCAATTTATGTTTTGATGAGGGGCCAAAAGCCCGAAACATGTAGAAATATCGTATCAATTAAATACAGATGGAAAAGAAGCCACGTGATTGATTATTAACACAATCTTGTGTTTCACACTCTTAAAAAAATTTTAGTACAACACAGTTTCAAAACAACAAATAAAAAAGATTTTTATGTTCGGACAATAAACACATGTTCGAATAATGAGCACCTCACAGAACAAACACAAGAAGCAACATAAAATAATGAATACTGATTGGTCTTTCCCTGTCTCCAGGTGACAGTTTGAAACCTTTTGGGGATGGGAGAGGTTGATATCAATGTCCAATACAATACCAAATGGATAATATTCATCCAAACTTTGAAACTCTTCCTTGTAATTCCAGCTTGTTTAACTTTCTGACAGATATAACTTTTTTATAGTCTTTGTGAGACTGTCAGGCACTCATTAAGTTTTGCATTGGTTTTTATTTTCAAAAGGTGAGAGTTTAACTGTCCCATTGGATATTCATTAACATTTTAACACCAGATTTTGAATTCTGTCGGAGACCTCGCATTTACATAATTTTTTGTGGGCTACTTGATTTCTGTTCTCTGAATTTTTGTAAGTATTTTTTCTGAACTTTTTATTTAAAAAAGAAACTAGTAATATTATGGGGCTAAAAAGAGTGGAGTGTCAAGAACTATGCTTACCACAGAAACCAAACAAGAAATAATAGCCAAGGTAGAGCATGGGCAGAAGAGGTCTGATGTTGCTAGACAGTATGGCTTGAACAGGTCTACAGTAGGCACAATGTTAACTAAGAAAGATATAATCAAGAAGACTTGAGCAGCTAAAGGAGTAATAAAAATCACATCTAAGAAAGAAAGATGTGCTATCCATGAAAAAATGGAGAGATTGCTTTTAATTTTGGATAAAAGAAAGGGAAATGAAAAGAGATGTAATTCATATGACTATCATTCAAGAGAAAGCTAGAGAAATTTTTGAACAACTGAAGAAACAAACTCTGCATTTGTCACATGAAGAGATACAATTCAAGGCTACCACTGGATGGTTTGCAAAGTTTAGAAGGAAATCTGGAATTAAACATATGATAATGCATGGTGAGTATGCTAGTGCAGATAAAGAAGCTAAGTTGTCTCAAATTTCAAAAATTCATTAAAAAAGAAGGATATTGTCCATAACAAATTTTCAATTGTGATGAAACTGGTTTATTTTGGAAGCACATGCACCATACAGTACCTGCATCATGAAAGATGAGAAAAATAACTCTGGGCATAAACCCATGAAAGACTGTCTTTCATGGGTTTTTGCTCGGAGATATTTTTCTCATTGACATTACTTTTGGGAGCTAATGCTAGTGGTGATATGAAGCTTAACCTGCTTCTTGTCTATTACTCTGAGAATCCTAGAGCATTCAAAAAAATTCCGTAATTAAAGAAAGACTGCCTTTGATGTAGAGATTGAATAAAAGGACATGGGTCATGCAAGCTCTTTTCAAAGAATGGCTGTTTAAAGTTTGTGCCCCCAAGCATCAAGGATTACCTTCAAACCAATGAATTGCCATTGAAAGCACTGTTGCTAGTGGACAATGCATCAGGACACACAAAAGAACTTAAAGATAATTTGCTGGAAGAGTTCCCTGGCTAACAGTTCAGTTCTGCTTCTGAATACCACTTCATTGATTCAGTCAATGGATCAGGTTATTCTGGGTTTCAAGAAATTGTATATTTGTGCAGTCACTCAGTGATAGTTGAATTCTGCTTTGTGAAAGCTGTGTCCATCCTGCATTCAGGGAAACAGAGATGATATCCCTGAAATTATGGATGAAATTGTGACAACTGCTAGAGATCTTGAATTGGAGGTCAATGAAGATGACATTGAAGAGCTCATAATGGAACATGAAACTGATCTGACAACATAACTCCAAGAACTCTTGAATTCTTGAATGAAGAATACCAAGAAAGTCAGTGAGATGTGTTTTCTTCTGAAAAAGAGGAGGACGAAAGAGGACCAATGCCAACATCTGCTATTAAAGATCTTTTGAAGAAATGGGAGGATGTCATTAGAATGGCATCCAAACTAGGTTAATAGGCTTGGTGTATCTCTACAACAACAATGCTAACAATGCAAAAAAATCTTGAAGAGAAAAGCAATTGACATTGGACAGATTTTTTTAATGCCCCACAAATAGAAGAAAACATGACTGATGAAAATACAAGACTGTATATGTATGTATTATTGTTATTACATATAAATAAATGTAGTAAGAAATTATATAATTATTTATTTATTTTTTTTGGCGTTTCCAGAACGAATTAATCAAATTTCTATAAAAATTTATGGTAAATTGATAATTGGCTAACAGACAATGCGGGTTGCAAACATTGTCTTTGAACAAATTATGTTCATTAACCAATCATCCACTGTACTGTAAAACACAGTAATTAATTTGAATTAAAACAATGTTTTGTACAAAAATTTTCATTTCTATTATTGCAGCACATGGGCAGTAAGAAGCATAAAGATAGACTGGAAGGAAAGAAGACCCCGGGCAAAAAGTATTGGTGGAGAAAGGTAATTTTAATTTTGTATGTATGTATATATCATAATTTAGTTCACCATTTCTCTAGCTGGGATCTGCAAACCAGTTCAAGAGTGTGCACAAAATGTTCAGAAGTTATCTAGCAACATATTTTTATCTTTTTAAAAATACACTGATAGAATCATATTTTCATTATAGAACATTGTTTTTGATATCAGTACTTCTCTCACAGACCATGTGCAATTTCCACCACTAATTCATGTTTACATGTACATGTGTATAAATTTTTCTATGTATAGCAAATTGATTCAAAGTAAACTTATTATTATTATAGATGGATTTTACACATTTTTAGAACAGTTTTGAAAAAAATAAAATAATTCAAAAGAATATACTTGGTAACAGGTTATTATAAGTCAGGAAATGTAAACATTGTCTGCTGTACACACACAAACAATTGTGAAAATGTTTAATCATCTGCTTTCAAAATGTCACATATAAGCAAACTGAAAATAGTAAAAACATTGTTTATTCAAAAGAGAAACATTTCTTATTATAAAATTTAAAAAAATTATGAGAACTATCATATTAACATTCCCAAATGTAAAATAAGTAATACTATTAATTAATAATAAAGGAAAAAATTATGTATTGCTTGCCAACCAGAACAAGAACACCAAACATCCAAAAAAGATTTGTACTTGACAATTTCAAAAGTAAAACCTCTCAACAATTTCAGAGGTGCACTGACTCAAATAACAAGTGCAAAGTCCGTAAATACCTTTGTATAAACTATAAACAAGATGATACACAAAATTTAAACAAGATTTAAATTTTAAAAATACAAATCTGTATTGTGACTATTGATGAAGAAATGAATTTACTTAAATGATTGTAACAAAAAATATCAAATTATCATTTGCTAAGGGAAGAAAAAGAATTTTCAAACCTGGTTTGAAGAAACCAAAGAAAGTTTCAGTATGGATTCAAGGTTATTACTGGAATCTCTAGCAACAGAAAATTAAAGTTAATTAAGAAAAGTCAAAAAGAATGTTAAAATTGATTCTCCATTTAACCAGAATAATTTTTTAATACCTACGTTTAAAGAAAAAAATACCATTCATTTATCCACAGATCCTTCAAAAAGTAGAACATCATCATGATAAGGATTCTAGTCATATATCCAAATCTAAACTAAATTCCTTGAAAAAATAACAAGAGAAACACTTATTGAGACTATATCTTTCAACCACATTCCTTCAAAGTCCTCTAACATGTTTCCAATGGACCACTGTGTCTGTTAAGGAAAAAAGAGCTCTTTATATATGCAAGCTTAGAATAGCTGATGGACTATGAAAAGCAGTGGAGTAAAATGCCACTATTTACTATTGGAAATACACTCATATCATGGAAATCTAGATGTAGGTTGATAGTCCAGAAAAAGAGCTATCAGATAGAACATTTAAGAAATATAAGGATATTTTGAAAAGTGATTGCTTTTTAAATTTTACAACTTAAAGCCCACATTTAGATTTGATAGATTTTACATTATGCAGATAAATTCACATTTTAAGTTTTGTTCTTGCTTCATCCATCAATTTTTGGATCATGTTAGCTTTATCCACTTGTGACTTGAATAAAGTTCAAAATTAATAGATTGTTACTTGCTTTAAACAAAAGACTTGATAAAGTAGTATTAGCCAATTAATCCTAACTTTATCTGATTCATATGCTTTAACTGTAACATATGAAGGATGTATTTACAGTACATATATTGGACACCCTTTAATGGTTTTTCCCATTTTAATCAATCACCCAAAATATATATCCTATGAAAAAAATTTCTATATTAAGGAGGATACAAAAAAGGCATTATGGTTTTCATCATACATGGCACTAAAATTGGTAAAAATAGCATTCTTCAAATACTCATAACTTCTGATAAGTGCATTTTTGAAAAAATGTTTTAGATAAAATTTATTTGTTTTTGATGCATAATTATAATATACAATAAAAAAAGGGAATTTCTATTTAAGAAAATGAAGTTAACCCCATTTTTACTGATTTTAGTTTCACCTGTGAAACCAATAGGGCCATCTTGTGTCCTTGATACAGAAAATTTTTTTTGTAAGATGCATATTTTTTTTTTTGGGTGACTAATTAAAATGGAACACCCTGTATATACAGTGAGTGCAAAAAGTATTCATATAGCTTAAATTCTGCAGATTTAACAATAGTAATATGAAGGTCAAATGATTTGTCAAAGAAATAAAACATTAAGCAAAGTTGACATAGAAATGATTTATTTGAGATAAAAAATAGTCCCAAAAAAAAAATAGTAGTCTTTTTTGTTAGGTAAAACAAAAAATGTCACTTTTTTCCAAGTACAGTAAATATTCAAGCACCTGTAAATATGCATGAAAATAGGGCTGTTTCTTGGTGTTGTCAGTACTACTAGACGTTTCCCTTAGTCATTATGATTGAACAGAGTCTAGCGCACATTTATGTCATCAACTTTGCTATGCAGAAGGTGGTATGGAGTTCCATTCTGCTATTAGAGTATTAGAGCATTCTTGAGGTATTTTTGGAGACTTTTTTTTTGACATTTTATTTTCATCAAGAATTTTCAATGAATGTTCTGTTAGATTAATGTCTAGAGCAGGGGTGTCCAGCCCACGGGCCTCATGCAGTCCAAGGCAAGTTCCAATGTGGCCCAATAAACGTGTAACCAAAACCGACAAATTGTTTTATTTTTTATTTATTTATTTCAACGGCATAAACTCAGAAAAGAAGTTTCACAAAGCCGTAACTTTTATACATATTTTATTTTTGAGTGAAAAGGAAATATTTTCAAATACTTGGAGATGTGTGAATGATGAAGGAATACTAAATAAAGCTGAAGTTGTGATTCAAAGGATTATAGATCCAAATTTGAGAAAAGGAGAGAAAAGCCAAAAGATAAAAAGTAGTGAGAAAGGTTCTTCACACCTTCAGACCTTCTGTTATGCAAATATTGACCCTTAATTTTCCAACCTTTCTCACTACTTTTTATCTTTTGGCCTTTCTCTTTTTTTCTCAAATTTGGGTCTATAATCCTTTGAGTTCCAACTCCAGCATTATTTAGTATTCCTTCCAGCATTGCAAGATTTGGCTACCCTTTTTTTAGTTTGGTGTAAAAATTATCATTTGGCACTTTGCCTACTTCTTGGGCTACATATTATTTATAAATATATTAGTTGAATAAAAATGCACTTTAAAATGGTGTGTCATTGTTTTTTTTATTAATTAGAGACCCAAATAAAACAAATATTTGTGTTTTTCAAATAAATTTTTGTTTGTCTCCTTATAATAAATGAATTTATCTATTTCTAAGTAAAAATTGAAAGTGTCTGTAGAAGTAATTTTTTAAAATATCCTTTTTCGTGATAAAGTTTTAATACTTATTACTATAATCTAGATACGTTAATCCTTAAATATACAAGTATATTTAAGGATTGGGTCACAAATATATTATATATACTTGTGGCCCAAAACTCCATGACTTCTTCCAATGTGGCCCAGAGAAACAAAAAGGTTGGATATCCCTGGTCTAGAGATTGGAGTGAAGTATGGAGTTGAGGAGTGTTGTACACTGGCTACATATTGGTATTATGGGCAGTGTGCTTTGGATCATTGTCCTGCATAAAAATATAGTTCTCTTGGAGACCCTTTTATTTACACTATTAATCTTTTTCGTGGTATTCCTGAAATATCTTGGGTCCAAACATAATGACCTTGATCAGTGGACTCTATATATCTAGTTTCTGCATCAGAACATTTTTTACACCCTAGATGTCACTAGTCGTCGTAATTTTTATATTAAAACTAACTTCCAAAATATAATTATTTTTGTTTTTACATTTTTTAATATGTCTATTTTGTTTGTGCAAAATAAAAAAATAATTTTGGAAGACACAATAGCCATAATTGTTTTTTTTATAAAACATGTAATTTTCGTTAGGCTTAACATCAACAAAAATTCAATGTGAAGCGACATGCATCAGAGAAAAATTTCAACATGGGATAGGTTAAAAAGGTTAAAGCATAGAATGTTTATGTAATGCTTGTGGTCCATGATTTCCTCAATAGTATGCAAATTTCCAACTCCTGCAGCACCATATGAGGACAGATCCACATCCATGTTTTACTGTAGGAATCAAATGTTTTGGTTCATCTCTTCATTCTTCTTTCTCCACACCATCCTTTTGCCACCAGAGCCAAAAACATTGAATTTGCTTTTGTCAGTGAATATTACCCATTTACAGGTCTTCATCCGTATTTTGAAGTCATAAAATGGAATCAAGGCATTTCTTCTTGTTTCGTTTATTCACTTAGAATTTCTTTCTTGCATTATAGCCTTCTTGTTTACATACACTGTGCATTGTACTGGCTGATACTCTCATACCTCTTTTACCCAAGTCAGCAGCTATTGTGGGAGCACTAATCTTAGTCTTTTTTGATACAATGAATTATTACAGACTTCTCATTCAGTCAGGATTTTGGGACATCCACTTCTTGATTTATTCTTCAATGTCGTTCTATCTTCATATCAATCAGTAATGCCTTGACTGAGCTTTGATATCTCATTCAATGATGTGGTCTGATTGTGAAGCTTAATTGTCACTCTTTGTTCTGTCCTAGTAGTTTTCTTGCCCTTGCAATTCATACTTCTGCAAATAGTCACTGTTGCTATTTTAGTTAAATGATCTGATGATAGGAAAGTGATAATGAAACTATAGGCTACATTTAGAAATGTAGAGATGTTAATGCAATCCAATTTATTTCAAAGCCTAAATAAAGTCCAGCAAAAGCAATATTCATGTGACTGTTTTTATCCACATTCCATTTTCCATTTTTCAGCATGGAGATGTGCAAAAATGCTCTATGTACCAAAAAGTTAAAATTAGTCATCTTATATGGGATGGGATTGTGTCTGACTCTTGCATCCTATTGTTTTGATCTCTGATCCAAGCAATAGGATACAAGAATTACA